GGGTTTAGGGTCTAGGGTCCACCTTTCAATGTAAGCAAAAGCTAGCACAAGAAGAAATGTTTGTGCCGATTCCCACACAGAAACCACATCCCAACACAATGAGGAGAAAAAACAAAACTAAACACATGAAAAATCCACCAAGGGCATTATTGAATGGAGCGCCTTTGGTTTAGAGTTTGGGATTTGGCCCCGATGCTCCGGGCGTAGAGTTAGGGTTTAAGGTTTATAGGGCCTAGGNNTTCAGGATTCAGGGTTTAGGGCTCAGGGTTTTTAGCGGTTACTTAGGGCCTAGGGTTTAGGGTTTCAAGGTTAGGGCTGTGGGTTTGTTTGGATCTTGGAACCCTTGCTGTGGCCAGTATCCCCTCAATAGCAAGGTGCCCCGTTCTGTCATTGCTGAACATGTTGACGGGTTATGGGCAAAAGCGTACTCTGCGAAGCCATCACAGAATCTGGTCTCACAGCCTACAGCAAAAAGCCCTCGTCAAATCCGTTGCACATGCTTGCGCTGAGAAAAAAGAAAGCTTGTTCGTCCAAATCTCCGGCAGTAGCTCTCTGCTCAGGATCGCGGATTCGTGCAATAGATCCTTGGATTGCTTGGACGCGGGCTTCGGTGACAACTGCGACAAGATTTTGGGGGGTCTGCGACTCGCGTGCTGAGCACAAGACTTACCGAAGGAATTGTGCTGTCGGGTTCTTATGAGACAGACTCCCTCAAAAAGGGATGCCAGTCAGTTTTAAGAACAACCCTAAGACCAAACCCTTAACCCTTAACCCTAAACCAAAAACACGAACCTGAATCCCAGATTGAACCCACACCCTGCAGTCTACTCTGGTTTAGGGTTTAGGGTGTTGGGCGTAGCCTTGGCAAAATACTGTTGTACAGTCTTCGCGCCATTGCAAGAAGTTTGAAACGACACTTCCATCATCAAGCAGTCAGTACCAAAATTCGAAGGCGATAACTAAGGCATTAACTTCTCATAAACCCTAAACCCTGAAGCCCAAAACTAAACCATAAGCTTCTGGCCGTCGTCTTCTTTCCAACATGCTGACGTAAAGCCCCAGCCTATTTATGTAGACCTTATCGCCTGCATCTTTAGGGCTCATGGTCTTTAGGGTTTATGGTCTTTAGGGTTTAGGGTTTAGGGTTTAGGGTTTTGCGTTTAGGGTTTAGGCGTTTTTAGGATGAACCATACAGTGCGGCAAACTTGGCAGCCCTCCGCAGGCCCTGAGAGCGTGAGAGCTTTTTCTCCCCACTGATCTCTTGTTTAGGGTTTAGAGTTTAGGGCAAAGGGCCCCTAAAAACCCTAAACCACGCTCATCTTTCCCTGAAAAAACCCTAAGCCCGAAATCGGCCTTTGTTGCAGCTTCCAAGCACCCTAATGTAGCGGCCTTAAATAATTAGAATAGGGTTTTGGGTTCCTTTAAAGGGCTCCTTAAAGGGTTCTATAAGGGCTACTATAAGGATTTAGGGTTTAGGGGTCTTAAATAATTAGAATAAGGGGCCCAATATACTATAATAATACCAAGGATCCCCCCAAAATAGTCTAGGTAATTAT